TCACAGGTATATTAACAACTTAGGAAATCTGAAATCTCTCCATTTTGACGTCTTGTACTTGATGTTAATGTATTACGACGTTCCGTCATTGTGACTGACTTACGGAGGTAGTTCTTAACAGGCTTTTCTCATCCAAAGATGATATCATTTGAATACATTGCTTGTAAACACACTACAGCAGGTGTTTCTTTAACCTTTAGCCTGCTGAATTATTTTCACACTTCTTACCCCTGCCTGCTGGATTAATTTTAGCATAAGGCGCTCTAAAGAGGGTGGGTGATTTCAAACAGTCGGTGCCTCATTAAACAAGGGCCAATTGAAGAAATATTTTGCACATTTATTCCTGAAAGAAAACTACACAATTCTATATAAAAATATCCTGATGTTTTCAATCATACCAAGGTTAAGACCAAAGCGAACACAAAATTTGTAAATTTTCTTAAACTTACCTGAATCGCGTTATTGAAGGTGGTTTGCATTTCATGCTAGGAACCTTTTAATATCGTAACATTTGTGCAAATTGATTTCAATAATCCTATCTCCGATATCTTAATTCTAATTGAGTAAAAATTCGGGTTTTAAAATCGGCATATATCAGCGCGATGGTAAATTATGAACCATTTCAGTGAATTTATTATCTAAACGTTAAACAGAAAAATAACTTAATTTTCGAGGTCATCATGTCGGTTGCAGAAATATGAATTTTTCGGGTCAATCTGACGTGTCATGTTATAAAATTTGCAGGAAACAATTAATGACTTATAAATATTCACTAATCCTAATTTCAAGCGTTTTGGTTGAATATTTACGATATACAAAAATAAACAACCCGTGTCATGATGCTAGCAGACGTCCTAAAATCAAACATGGCGCGCTTCGCCCGACCTCCGCATAACTTATTGCTATTTTAATATCAACAAAGTTTACATTGCCTTTATAAATATAACTTGGCGAAAGTTGACGATCTTCTGAGTAAATTTTGAAATAGTTCGCCTATCACATAGAGCAAAAAATAAGTCGATACACAGTATCAGTAATCACCACTAACATGAAATAAAAATGTGACTTTGACGATATAATTCGCGTATTAGTTAATCCGTTTGACCTTGCATGCTCCTGTGACCTGGAAACGGTAGACGATAAATCAACATGCCACATGCAAGTTTCTCGGTATCTTTTATTTGAACTTCTGTTGATATTTAAGAATCACCATTCAATGTTGTGAATATAAATGGGACATGATTCCTATTTCTGCGATGTACACGCTGATAAGTTTCACTACAACAAGTGTATCCCACATAATACGTCTATGGATATCGTCGATCAGCAAGATCACCCTCAACAACAGGTGCGAGAAAATGGGCTTGACAAAACGTGTTTCAAAATAAAAACCCCGCGTTGCTGAATATGATAGGGTATATATAAGCAATAAAATTCTACGTACATATTTTCGGTGTTAGTTCCACATTACATTTAGGATAGTTTTCCTTTCGGGAATACATTCATAGATTCTAACATGATTCTAGAACAGTTACACGAAGGATTTCTAAATTTATTCCAAAAATATGAAGACCACCATGATTGCGTATTGATGATAGATTTGTAATTGTTTAATTATTTACAGCTGTTTACAGGTTTTAAAATTTTAAGTTATATTTAATAGTTATTTTTCCCACAATGATGGTGTGTGGGGACAGTAAATATTAGTCTTTGCATCAGCAAAGTGTAACTGATCAAACTTCAATTATTATCTTTAGTTTAAACATATTTATTCAACAATTATTATCTTGCACTCTGAAAATCAACTATGTGAATAAGTAACTCTCTGATGTCATCATTTTAATTTTAGTATTCCATGAATAATGAATAAATCAGATCCTTAACATATACATACTAAACTCATATGGACATTAATCTTGTGCATTATGTGGTTTGTTTCCAAATAAAACAATTCTGAAATATAATTTAATAGGAATTAATTTAATTTAATTACAGTAACAGTACTTGTAACAGTACATGACATTTTTGTTTGTTTAATCACAAGAACCATGGTGGCACATGAGCTGGTAAGTTTGCCATAGGTTTCTTAGAAAATGCTATCTCAGTCTTCTGGTTGGAATGAAAAGAAACATGCCTGTGTACATGTTTATCCTTGCCAGATGTATTTTTTCCAGTCAGCCAATCCATTACTTTTGTTCACCTTATGTGGTCTATTTTATACATACAGGTACTGCTTCCAACCTGTTTTTTCTTTGTATGCAATCACAGTATCACAACTTCCTCAGCTGGTGTGTATAAAAGTTCCCCTGTCATCATGAAAAAAGAATTATAAAGGAAAGTCATATTTTCATTCAAAAACATATCTGTCCTTCCTTGAATACTCTTTGTCTAAGTGCCAGAAATGTCAGTGTCATAAAAAAATTAAAAAAAGATTTTCATAAGGACTTTTCTTAGATAGACCTAGATCTAAGTCAAACCATGTGACTAGTTAGGTAGAATTATACTTATAAGCCCTCATTTCTGAGGTGTCCATATTTTTCATATTTTTAGGACTAAACGTGATCCGTGTAGATCTGCCTGTTTTGTTATGTAAAACAAATTCTTGTCTTAAAAAATGAGAAAAGGAATCATTCAGACGAAATATTTTATCCCATTGATTCACGAAAATCAGTTGAAATGTACAGTGGTGACTTTTGTACCCAAAATTTCTAGTAATTTGTTACCCAAATGGGTATGTGATTTTGTAGATCTACCTAGAATTATTTCAAAGATATACATTAATTTGGTGTCTTAAACTTAACATAATATCACTTTCCTATCAAAACAATTCATTCTAACTTAGGTTTAACCAACTTAACTGGCCTCTCCTTCAGTGACAAGACGTCAATTTTCTCTCAACACTAAACAATCAATTTCAAGGATCAGTCATAATCATATTTGGAACTTGATGAAATATTTTATCATGTGTTCTGTTCATCTACATGAAAACAAAAATATAATTATAGATCTATTGTCTTTTGTTCTTTGGTACAAATTCACAAAGTATTTTGGGTACAATTTAATTTGTTCTGGGTACAAAATCACATATATAGGAGCCTAGAATCTAGATCTCTATATATTTACACTAGCCTACCTCGTTGTGTACCAAAATTTTATCGGTTCAGAGGACGGGAGGTTCTCAGAAAGTTTTCAACAACATCTTTAATATTTAAATTGTTCTTTTTGAAATGTTAGACCAATAACAATATTATGTTATTATTATGGCATATCAATACGTTGTATCGCTCTCCTTTGCGTTCGTTTTTAGAAAATATTTTTAAAATTAAAATCATCGAGCGTGAAATCCATTACAGTTTCGGATTAAGACTTACACATTTGTTGGCGACAATCACGAAGAAATATGAAACAAATAGAGTGAAGACTGCTCTCCAGATCAATAAATAGTAAATAGTTGACGAAAAATAGTAAATTATGTATTTTCTTTTGAAGTTGAATCTATTTCGGAATTTTCTGACGTTTGTCGGCTTGTCAATGTGTCGGAAAGTTTATCAAACAAAATCATTTGCAAACTCTTTAAAGATGAAATTCTTTTTACAAAGATTTATACATACGTGTCAATAATTCTAGAAAATTAAGTTAGATGTAACAAAATGATTGTAATAGTCTAACGGGATAACTATGCATGTGGAGTTGTTTGTTTACCGCCGTTGCCATGATCGTACAAGTTCCATCCAATCGATGATGTTACCATTCAGATTGTTTTTGTTTACAATTAGTTACACCGAAAGTTGCTAATTTTTAGAAATAAAGGAACATGAGTGTTTTCCTTTCGTCAGCAAACAAAAAATTATGATCGAATAGCAAAAATGATGAAATTATAAAGAAAATATCGGACTGCATGCCACTCAAAGTGAAGTGCCAAAAGTCAACAATGGCCGTTTCTGGTAGTTGTGTGCCGAGAAGATTGGCCGAAACATTTTTAACTTGCGATATTTTCTTTTTGAGGTAAATAAATGACTGAACATTTTGATATTGAGCAAGCTGAGCATTTATGCATGTCATTTAAATGTTACGCAAAGCCTTCTTGGTAAATAGATATGGCGAGTTTTATTTTGGGGTGATGTTATGCTATTCGCCTGTCGAATGGGTTCGACATCAGATGAACGGGGATGGACACCTCTGTCGAATGGGTTCGATGTTAGCGTGCAGAGCTTTAAAGCAAGTTGAGCATACATAAGCTCATGTAACCTCTCTTTTTGGGAACAAGTTTATTTAAGAATTGACCTTCACTTTGTGTGAGTTCATTGGAGTATGAACCTTCATAGAGTGAGAGCCAACTGTATGAACGTCGGAGCTTGCGTCGTCAATTTCGTCAATGTCGTCAATTTCGCGGTCATGTGACCAACCTCTCGTCCAAAGGAAAAGCCGTATATCATGTAAACTTCAAAATTAAAAAATTATTCTACTATACAGCTGGTTGTTGTAAGGCTGTCAGTGTAAACATGAAGTCACACGTACAGATCTAGCGCTACATCCCTTGAGGTATAACATATACATATGAAATATTATAAGAATTGATTCTCACTTTAAAATCTGATTGGGATGGTTGTCTGTTGAAAATCTTAAGACTTTTTAAGTGTGATGTTAAATTAATTACAAAAATATTGCTATGTTGTAATAGAGGTAAGGTATTATGTGTGTACAGTTATCATGTGCAAACATATGATCTGAAAACAATTGCAAAATGAAAACATGGCACTCTAGCTCACCTGGGTATGTATGACATAACAAACCTTTGCTTGACCTTCAGTCAGATGAGCCCCCAAAAACATTTATTGATTGGTCTGATTATAATTACAATTACAAATAGGTGCAGGTGACATATTAAGTCACTACATGTGACTGTATGTGGAAGTGTGTTGAGTCACTAAGTAGGGTGTACATATAAGATGTATTATTGAGGACACTTGAACTCATAAAAATAATAGAGCAACACTTACTGAAAAAACCTGCTTTTTTCATAAGCCGTTTCTTGGATAGAATTTTCATTGCCTGAAAAAAGAAATAACATACATCATATCTTTCTATCTAAACTATTTGAAAAAAACGTCCTGTGCATCACTGACTCTCATGGGAAATAATAAACAGATGCAAACAAAGAATGATTGGGCAACAGAACAAAAAATCAAACATGAATGCATCAAGACTGTTAAAACATGACCTCTGTAAACGTTACATAGGCTGAAAGTGGCGGAGGTCGAGTCTCAGTTCACATATCCGTATGGGGTATGACCACCATTAGCAGTGACACAAGCTTGACAATGGCACCACATTGACGACATAAGATTGTTGAGAATATGATTCCCGATCTGGACTAAGGTCCACCATGGCTGGATCAGTGTCACTGTTTGGAAATAGATGTTTCATTTCATCCCACTTTTTTTATGAAACATCAGGCCAAGGGAGTGTGGGGATGTTCTGTAGTCAAAGGAAGTCTATGACCACATGTGCCATGTGAGGGCATCCTCTGTTCTGCTGTGAAGTGATGGGACGTCCATGTGTCTGAAGGAACGGGATGACGATAGGATGGATTACTTCATGACAGTACCATACACTTGCCGAATTGCCATCAATGACCACAAGAGGGCCCCTGTGATGTCCCCACTCCATTACGCTTGAATGCAGAATGTTAAACAACACGAGTGTTAGCGTAACATTCCATCCCACATTACTAAACATACAGATGGCCATCAGTGCTGTCAAAATGAAACCTGGACTCAACTGGGAAAGGACTAACCCCTAGTCCTGGTTTTCTCAGACAAAATACAAACCTTGATAGTGAGAACATTAAGATTCTTCCCAGTTATCACATGCCAATGTTAAATAGTATATAAGTACCTTATGTAGACATCAACACAAAGGCAGAAAGCACTCACATAATGTGTCTCATCCTCTTCACTGAACACCAACTTGACAATTCCATATGAACCCTACAACATATGCATAAAGTAGTGAACAAAATAGTAGACAATATACACAATAACTTTCAGGACATGGTCCTTCAAACTATATCTATCATAAGACAGTTGTCATAGCGACTGATTTACGACACCCATTGTCTGAAGAACATTTAATTGCAAAGGCTCATTACCCTGGAGCCATGACATCTATATGCCTTGAAACACTTAATTGCTGTTATTTATAAGATGCTAATCCTAACTGTTAATCCCCATTTTTGAGTACAATGACCGCCTGCCATCCTGAACGAGATGTGCAAGTATGTCACTGATGAATTACTGTTTACATTTATATTTATTACTTACTAAATGTCAGTTGACCTTGGCTATATATAAGCCTTGGACCAGAGAAAAAGAAAAAAAAAGGTCTTACCCTTAGCCTAGCTAGGGTTAGGCTGGGTTCTGGGGCACCTAGACAATAACCACTACCACTATGTGCTGCCCTGGCACATAGGGTCTTTTGTATGTATACATCTACATGTATAAAGTAAAACTGTATATACCGCAAGCCATCGTCTCAAATTTGTCACTTCCTACCGAGAACCATACGTCGGCCCCTTGCATATACGAGTACGCAAATTATTCATTAATCAACGTCTACATCCCATCCCATCACTGCCAGCCACGCTAGCACCAATACATCAGATCACTGCTGCTGCACTGGCACCAATACACGACTACATCAGATCACTGCTGCTGCACTGGCACCAATACACGACTACATCAGATCACTGCTGCTGTGCTAGCACCAATACACGACTACATCAGATCACTGCTGTCACGCTAGCACCAATACATGATTACATCCCATCACTGCCAGCCACGCTAGCACCAATACACGACTTCATCAGATCACTGCTGTCACGCTTGCACCAATACACGACTACATCAGATCACTGCTGCCACACTCGCAGCAATACACAACTACATCAGATCACTGCTGCCACACAAGAACCAATACATGGCTACATCAGATCACTGCCAGCCACGCTTGCACCAATACATGACTTAATCAGATCACTGCTGCTGCGCTAGCACCAATACACGACTACATCAGATCACTGCTGTCACGCTAGCACCAATACACGACTACATCAGATCACTGCTGTCAGAGCTAGCACCAATACACAACTACATCAGATCACTGCTGCTGCGCTTGCACCAATACACGACTACATCAGATCACTGCTGCCACACTAGCACCAATACACGACTACATCAGATCACTGCTGCCACACTAGCACCAATACATGTCTACATCCCATCACTGCCAGCCACGCTTGCACCAATACATGACTACATCAGATCACTGCTGTCACACTCGCAGCAATACATGACTACATCCCATCACTGCCAGCCACGCTAGCACCAATACACGACTACATCAGATCACTGCTGCTACACTCGCACCAATACACGACTACATCAGATCACTGCTGCTGTGCTAGCACCAATACACGACTACATCAGATCACTGCTGCCACACTAGCACCAATACATGACTACATCCCATCACTGCCAGCCATGCTAGCACCAATACACAACTACATCAGATCACTGCTGCCACACAAGCACCAATACACGACTACATCCCATCACTGCCAGCCACGCTTGCACCAATACACGACTACATCAGATCACTGCTGCCACACTAGCACCAATACATGACTACATCCCATCACTGCCAGCCAGGCTAGCACCAATACACGACTACGTCAGATCACTGCTGCCACGCTTGCACCAATACACGACTACATCAGATCACTGCTGCCACACTAGCACTAATACACGACTACATCAGATCACTGCTGCCACACTAGGACCAATACATGACTACATCCCATCACTGCCAGCCACGCTTGCACTAATACATGACTACATCAGATCACTGCTGTCACACTCGCAGCAATACATGACTACATCCCATCACTGCCAGCCACGCTAGCACCAATACATGACTACATCAGATCACTGCTGCCACACTCGCAGCAATACACGACTACATCAGATCACTGCTGCCTGACTAGCACCAATACACGACTACATCAGATCACTGCTGCCTGACTAGCACCAATACACGACTACATCAGATCACTGCTGCCTGACTAGGACCAATACACGACTACATCAGATCACTGCTGCCACACTAGCACCAATACACGACTACATCAGATCACTGCTGCCTGACTAGCACCAATACATGACTACATCAGATCACTGCTGCCTGACTAGGACCAATACATGACTACATCAGATCACTGCTGCCACACTAGCACCAATACACGACTACATCAGATCACTGCTGCCTGACTAGCACCAATACACGACTACATCAGATCACTGCTGCCTGACTAGGACCAATACATGACTACATCAGATCACTGCTGCCTGACTAGGACCAATACATGACTACATCCCATCACTGCCAGCCACGCTTGCATTAATACATGACTACATCAGATCACTGCTGTCACACTCGCAGCAATACATGACTACATCCCATCACTGCCAGCCACGCTAGCACCAATACACGACTACATCAGATCACGTGCACTGCTGCCACACTCGCACTGATACACGACTACATCAGATCACTGCCAGCCACGCTAGCACCAATACACGTCTACATCAGATCACTGCTGTCACACTCGCACCAATACACGACTACATCAGATCACTGCTGCTGTGCTAGCACCAATACACGACTACATCCCATCACTGCTGCCACACTAGCACCAATACATGACTACATCCCATCACTGCCAGCCATGCTAGCACCAATACATGACTACATCAGATCACTGCTGCCACACAAGCACCAATACACGACTACATCCCATCACTGCCAGCCACGCTTGCACCAATACACGACTACATCAGATCACTGCTGCCACACTAGCACCAATACATGACTACATCCCATCACTGCCAGCCTGCCACACTAGCACCAATACATAACTACATCCCATCACTGCCAGCCACACTTGCACCAATACACTATTACATCAGATCACTGCTGCTGCACTAGCACCAATACACAACTACATCAGATCACTGCTGCTGCGCTAGCACCAATACAAGACTACATCAGATCACTGCTGCCACACAAGCACCAATACACGACTACATCCCATCACTGCCAGCCACGCTTGCACCAATACACGACTACATCAGATCACTGCTGCCACACTAGCACCAATACATGACTACATCCCATCACTGCCAGCCACGCTTGCACCAATACACGACTACATCAGATCACTGCTGTCACACTCACAGCAATACATGACTACATCCCATCACTGCCAGCCACGCTAGCACCAATACACGTCTACATCAGATCACTGCTGCCACACTCGCACCAATACACGACTACATCAGATCACTGCTGCTGTGCTAGCACCAATACACAACTATATCAGATCACTGCTGCCACACTAGCACCAATACATGACTACATCCCATCACTGCCAGCCACACTTGCACCAATACACGACTACATCCCATCAGTGCCAGCCACGCTTGCACCAATACACGACTACATCAGATCACTGCTGCTGCACTAGCACCAATACACAACTACATCAGATCACTGCTGCTGCGCTAGCACCAATACACGACTACCTCAGATCACTGCTGTCACGCTTGCACCAATACATGACTACATCCCATCACTGCCAGCCACGCTAGCACCAATACACGACTACATCAGATCACTGCTGCCACACTAGCACCAATACATGACTACATCAGATCACTGCTGCTGTGCTAGCACCAATACACGACTACATCAGATCACTGCTGCCACACTCGCAGCAATACATGACTACATCCCATCACTGCCAGCCACGCTTGCACCAATACACGACTACATCAGATCACTGCTGTCACACTCGCAGCAATACATGTCTACATCCCATCACTGCCAGCCACGCTAGCAGCAATACACGACTACATCAGATCACGTGCACTGCTGCCACACTCGCAGCTATACATGACTACATCCCATCACTGCCAGCCACGCTAGCACCAATACACGACTACATCAGATCACTGCTGCCACACTAGCACCAATACACGACTACATCAGATCACTGCTGCCACACTAGCACCAATACATGACTACATCCCATCACTGCCAGCCACGCTAGCACCAATACACGACTACATCAGATCACTGCTGCCACACAAGCACCAATACACGACTACATCCCATCACTGCCAGCCACGCTTGCACCAATACACGACTACATCAGATCACTGCTGTCACACTCGCAGCAATACATGACTACATCCCACAACTGCCAGCCACGCTATCACCAATACACGACTACATCAGATCACTGCTGCTGTGCTAGCACAAATACACGACTACATCAGATCACTGCTGCCACACAAGCAACAATACATGACTACATCCCATCACTGCCAGCCACACTTGCACCAATACACTATTACATCAGATCACTGCTGCTGCGCTAGCACCAATACACAACTACATCAGATCACTGCTGCTGCGCTAGCACCAATACACGACTACATCAGATCACTGCTGTCACGCTTGCACCAATACATGACTACATCAGATCACTGCCAGCCACACTAGCACCAATACACGACTACATCAGATCACTGCTGTCACGCTAGCACCAATACATGACTACATCAGATCACTGCTGCCACACTAGCACCAATACATGGCTACATCCCATCACTGCCAGCCACGCTAGCACCAATACACGACTACATCAGATCACTGCTGTCACGCTAGCAGCAATACACGACTACATCAGATCACTGCTGCTGCGCTAGCACCAATACACAACTACATCCCATCACTGCCAGCCACGCTAGCACCAATACACGACTACATCAGATCACTGCTGTCACACTCGCAGCAATACACCAAATCAAAAGAGAGTACTGGTGTGATATCATCCATGAAGTTTCATATTAATGAGACAAACAGTTTGACAGTTGGTATTTCACATTAGCCGGACACATTACACAGATTTTTCATTAGTGAGGTGAAGCCAAGTTATACATGTTTCAATGTAAATGCTATTGAAACCAAACTAAACAACTGTTAATGAAAGAACCGTTTTGCATGAAAACTGGACAATAACTCCTGTCCTACAGTGACACACTCCTTCCCTGATTACACACTCATGCCCTACAGTGACACACTCCAGCCCAGCAGTGACACTCCTGCCCTGGTTACACACTCCTGTCCTGGTTACATTCTAGTGGCCTACAGAGATCAACTCCTGCCTTACAGTGACACACTCCTGCCCTACAGTGACACACACATGCCTTACAGTGACACACACCTGCCCTACAGAGACACACTCCTGCCCTACAGTGACACACTCCTGTCCTACAGTGACACACTCCTGCCCTACAATGACACACTCCTGCCCTACAGTGACACACTCCTGCCCTACAGAGACATACTACCTACCTTGCCTATTTCACCATCTTGTACTGTTGGGTGCAGCCATCACTACCACCAGTACTACCTTGCCTATTTCACACATCTTGTACTGTTGGGTGTAGCCATCACTACCACCAGTACTACCTTCCTTATTTCACACATCTTGTACTGTTGGGTGCAGCCATCACTACCACCAGCACTACCTACCTTGCCTATTTCACACATTTTGTACTGTTGGGGGCAGCCATCACTACCACCAGCACTACCTACCTTGCCTATTTCACACATTTTGTACTGTTGGGTGCAGCCATCACTACCACCAGTACTACCTTGCCTATTTCACACATCTTGTACTGTTGGGTGCAGCCATCACTACCACCAGCACTACCTACCTTGCCTATTTCACACATTTTGTACTGTTGGGGGCAGCCATCACTACCACCAGCACTACCTACCTTGCCTATTTCACACATTTTGTACTGTTGGGTGCAGCCATCACTACCACCAGTACTACCTTGCCTATTTCAAACATCTTGTACTGTTGGGTGCAGCCATCACTACCACCAGTACTACCTTCCTTATTTCACACATCTTGTACTGTTGGGTGCAGCCATCACTACCACCAGTACTACCTTGCCTATTTCACACATCTTGTACTGTTGGGGGCAGCCATCACTACCACCAGCACTACCTACCTTGCCTATTTCACACATTTTGTACTGTTGGGTGCAGCCATCACTACCACCAGTACTACCTTGCCTATTTCACACATCTTGTACTGTTGGGTGCAGCCATCACTACCACCAGTACTAGTACTACTACCTTGCCTATTTCACACATCTTGTACTGTTGGGGGCAGCCATCACTACCACCAGCACTACCTACCTTGCCTATTTCACACATTTTGTACTGTTGGGTGCAGCCATCACTACCACCAGTACTACCTTGCCTATTTCAAACATCTTGTACTGTTGGGTGCAGCCATCACTACCACCAGTACTACCTTCCTTATTTCACACATCTTGTACTGTTGGGTGCAGCCATCACTACCACCAGTACTACCTTGCCTATTTCACACATCTTGTACTGTTGGGGGCAGCCATCACTACCACCAGCACTACCTACCTTGCCTATTTCACACATTTTGTACTGCTGGGTGCAGCCATCACTACCACCAGTACTACCTTGCCTATTTCACACATCTTGTACTGTTGGGTGCAGCCATCACTACCACCAGCACTACCTACCTTGCCTATTTCACACATTTTGTACTGTTGGGGGCAGCCATCACTACCACCAGCACTACCTACCTTGCCTATTTCACACATTTTGTACTGTTGGGTGCAGCCATCACTACCACCAGTACTACCTTGCCTATTTCAAACATCTTGTACTGTTGGGTGCAGCCATCACTACCACCAGTACTACCTTCCTTATTTCACACATCTTGTACTGTTGGGTGCAGCCATCACTACCACCAGTACTACCTTGCCTATTTCACACATCTTGTACTGTTGGGGGCAGCCATCACTACCACCAGCACTACCTACCTTGCCTATTTCACACATTTTGTACTGTTGGGTGCAGCCATCACTACCACCAGTACTACCTTGCCTATTTCACACATCTTGTACTGTTGGGGGCAGCCATCACTACCACCAGTACTAGTACTACTACCTTGCCTATTTCACACATCTTGTACTGTTGGGGGCAGCCATCACTACCACCAGCACTACCTACCTTGCCTATTTCACACATTTTGTACTGTTGGGTGCAGCCATCACTACCACCAGTACTACCTTGCCTATTTCAAACATCTTGTACTGTTGGGTGCAGCCATCACTACCACCAGTACTACCTTCCTTATTTCACACATCTTGTACTGTTGGGTGCAGCCATCACTACCACCAGTACTACCTTGCCTATTTCACACATCTTGTACTGTTGGGGGCAGCCATCACTACCACCAGCACTACCTACCTTGCCTATTTCACACATTTTGTACTGTTGGGTGCAGCCATCACTACCACCAGTACTACCTTGCCTATTTCACACATCTTGTACTGTTGGGGGCAGCCATCACTACCACCAGTACTACCTTGCCTATTTCACACATCTTGTACTGTTGGGGGCAGCCATCACTACCACCAGCACTACCTACCTTGCCTATTTCACATATCTTGTACTGTTGGGGGCAGCCATCACTACCACCAGCACTACCTACCTTGCCTATTTCACACATCTTGTACTGTTGGGGGCAGCCATCACTACCACCAGCACTACCTACCTTGCCTATTTCGTCCTTCATCTTGTACTGATTGAGTTGGATGTAGCCATCACTGTCTGAGACAGACACCCGGTGTGTCTCCATGGTTGGTTGTCGACGAAGGCGGGGGGAGGCAGTAGGGGAGCCATATGGAGAGTATGGAAGGGAGGGAAATATTGGTCTCTTTGCATTTGATGTTGTCAATCGATCTTCAGAATAACTGTAAATAATCTTTGGAGCTCGCTTAGAATTTACACAACCATGAATATTGTAGTCGGAATTCTCACTAGGACTACCAAGTGTGGTAAATGAGGAGCTGGTGCGTATGTCTGATTCCACCTGGGAGTCGGCAATGTAGTCTACAAAAGTGGGCACATTTAAATGTCCTGTTGCATCAACACATGCAATGCTGTGACGCCTGGCAACATCTAGGTCCTCCCGGAACACACTGCAGTCAATGTTGTCTTCATTTTCACTTGTTGAACTGCGACCTGAGTCACTTGTAATATTAGAACTTTTTCTTTGAAGTGGAACCTTCTTATGTGAAGAACTTGCATGCTGTACAAATGTTACTGGTGTAATCACCCCTGAAGTATGTTGATTCTCTTTGACTCCTTCTATCTGTATTGTTTGCGATGTGCCTGTTTGTTGGGGGGTCCCGGAGGTAGCAGTGAGGACTACGTTGCGGATGTTCTCCTCTTTCTCCTCCTGAGACTCAGGTTTGTGGACCATGTCATCAGGAGAGTCCTGGCCCTGGTCAAAGTGACAGTTTCTGAAAGCAAGCACAAAGTCACTTCAGATATATGACATGGCCAGAGCATCATACAGCTTGTCATACAGCCACTGAACATTTCATTTTGGATCAATATGTATGAGGCTCTTATCCCTCTAATCTATGCTCTGAAAGAAAAAACAAGAATCAGTGCATATATTACATATTGTAAATCAGCAAGAAGTCATTGCAGATACACGGCTGTACTATAGTCTCTCCGAAAGATTAGTTTGTATAGCATCAAACAAGAAACAAAAAGGATTCACTCAATTGACATGAGTGTGGCAATTTAGAAAACCTTTTGATTAGTCTGCGATTGGTACTTCTTTGGTTAGAGTGATTACTGTCTTTCCACACACAAGCTGGTCAAAGTTAGAAGCTTAACTATATCACATGTACAGTATGGGACAGGACCATAGGGCAAGGCACCATGCCTTCAGTGTGTCTGCATAACACAGGCCTGCATGTAGGTCGTTCAGATATATACTACCACCATGCAGCATAACACAGGCCTGCATATAGGTCATTCTGATATATACTACCACCATGCAGCATAACACAGGCTTGCATGTAGGTCATTCCTATATATACTACCACCATGCAGCATAACACAGGCCTGCATGTAGGTCATTCCTAAATATACTACCACCATGCAGCATAACACAGGCCTGCATGTAGGTCGTTCCGATATATACTACCACCATGCAGCATAACACAGGCCTGCATATAGGTCATTCTGATATATACTACCACCATGCAGCATAACACAGGCTTGCATGTAGGTCATTCCTATATATACTACCACCATGCAGCATAACACAGGCCTGCATGTAGGTCATTCCTAAATATACTACCACCATGCAGCATAACACAGGCCTGCATGTAGGTCGTTCCGATATATACTACCACCATGCAGCATAACACAGGCCTGCATGTAGGTCATTCTGATATATACTACCACCATGCAGCATAACACAGGCCTACATGTAGGTCAATGCGATATATACTACCACCATGCAGCATAACACAGGCCTGCATGTAGGTCATTCTGATATATTATACCATGATGCAGCATAACACAGGCCTGCATGTATGTCATTCCGATATATACTACCACCATGCAGCAAAACACAGGCCTGCATGTAGGTCAATGCGATATATACTACTACCATGCAGCATAACACAGGCCTGCATGTAGGTCATTCCGATATATAATACCACCATGCATCATAACACAGGCTTGCATGTAGGTCATTCTGATACATACTACCACCATGCAGCATAACACAGGCTTGCATGTAGGTCATTCAGATATATACTACCACCATGCAGCATAACACAGGCTTGCATGTAGGTCATTCAGATATATACTACCACCATGCAGCATAACACAGGCTTCCATGTAGGTCATTCTGATACATACTACCACCATGCAGCATAACATAGGCTTGCATGTAGGTCGTTCCGATATATAGTACCACCATGCAGCATAACACAGGCCTGCATGTAGGTCATTCCGATATATAATACCACCATGCAGCATAACACAGGCCTGCATGTAGGTCATTCTGATATATGCTACCAACATGCAACATAACACGGGCCTGCATGTAGGTCATTCCGATATATAATACCACCATGCAGCATAACACAGGCCTGCATGTAGGTCATTCCGATATATACTACCACCATGCAGCATAACACAGGCCTGCATGTAGGTCATTCTGATATATACTACCACCATGCATCATAACACAGGCCTGCATGTAGGTCATTCAGATACATACTACCACCATGCAGCATAACACAGGCTTGCATGTAGGTCATTCAGATATATACTACCACCATGCAGCATAACACAGGCCTGCATGTAGGTCATTCAGATATATACTACCACCATGACAATTGTTATAACAAGTGTAAGTAATCAGGATTGTGTTCAGACAAGCCTGTAGTAGTGAGTTATATCACCTGTATATGATCAATTATTGACTGCTTGTCAGTTCCCAACACATTTCAGAAAACAATCAATAGAGACTCTTGTACTCTGCCCAATAAAACAATTATTGCTGTTGTGCCAAACGATAACAGTTGTCTATGGAGTGAGGTTTACACTTCCATGTACACACTCCCTCCTATGATGTACAGTTAACAGTAGGTGATATGTCTACAACTTAAACAAACACTGGAATGTTCATTGTGGGCCTAACACATGTAACAACCTTTAAAGCCTTTAAAGATACATGTTACCACCATGAACACTCTCATGTTACTACCGTGAACAGTGCCAATACATAATGCTTAGAATACCAAGACTAAACTGTAGGAGCCTGTGCTGTTGAAAGGCACACCTACCTGCACCAAGCCTGCATCCTGTGATAGAATCGCTCGTAATACTGCATGCACTGCCGCTTTACTGAATTACATGGACATTCTCATCGACCAGTTCAGTAAACAACTCAGTTAAAATGCAGGCTTATCATAAATAAGTTCTGAACCAATACCAACAACAGAGTTACAACTTCACTTGTGAGATGTCAAGTTGATGGACAGTGGGCCCGTGCTGCTGTCTGTGTTGCCATCTGGGAGTCCGACCTTCATGCTTCCACAGGTCCCATGGGACATCTACAGATCACCTGGCTGTCAAGCAGGATCAATTCAAGCACACTCAAACAAAGCAAATGAAATTGTTTCACATGGAGAATCACACAAAGTCATGTGATTTAATTGGACATTTATGGATGGGTGTCCAGCAAGTTCATTCGTGGTATTCCCATCACAAGTTCTTCATTATCCACTTTCCCTCCATGCCCTCCAACATCTAGCATCAGATGTGTCAATCCCAGCACTTGTGGAGTCACAGTAATGAAACTTTGTTGGTGGTAGGTGGTCAACACTTGCAGGGACAATCAATGTCAGTATTTAATGTCCTTGTTTACAACACCTGACTACAGATTTGTTGCCGGACAGCAAACCTTGGGAGTGTTATCAACCTATGTGTAGAAGGCGACATCAGAACAAGCTGTTCCCATATCTGCCTTCACGCAATGATGGAGAGTTCTTGTCCAGTAATACCTGGCACAGAGTGCAGCAACAACACGTGAGGGAGGAGTTTATACTGCTTTGAAGATAATACAACTTACTAAGAGTGATTATGGTATCACTGGCCAAGGTATATGTGCTCCCAAATCTCCCAACACATACATCACAATGCATAATTCATAGGACACTGAGACAGCAGATGTAAAGCCATGCTGTTGCCAGTGACTACTACACATATGATAGTACTATGGTGGATGAGAACATGTTTACCGTTAGATGGCTAAAGTGTCCCTGAAAGTCCTAATTCACTACTTGAAATTTAATCAAGCCAAAGCCAGACCGAGGCAGTTATCATCTCCTGTCTTAGTTCTTTGTCGAGATATGAAGTGGTGCAGGAGATCTCCCGTCCTACTTCAAACTGGAGATAGGGAGTATTGCAGGAGAATTCCCGTCCTAGTTCCATGTGGAGATATTGAGTATTGCAGGAGATCTCCCGTCCTAGTTCCATGTGGAGATATGGAGTATTGCAGGAGATCTCCCGTCCTAGTTCCATGTGGAGATATGGAGTATTGCAGGAGATCTCCCATCCTAGTTCCAACTAGAGATATGGAGTATTGCAGGAGATCTCCCGTCTTTGTTCCATGTGGAGATATGGAGTATTGCAGGAGATCTCTGTCCTAGTTCCATGTGGAGATATGGAGTATTGCAGGAGATCTCCCGTCCTAGTTCTAACTGGAGATATGGAGTATTGCAGGAGATCTCTGTCCTAGTTCCATGTGGAGATATGGAGTATTGCAGGAGATCTCCCGTCCTAGTTCTAACTGGAGATATGGAGTATTGCAGGAGATCTCCCGTCCTACTTCCAACTGGAGATATGGAGTATTGCAGGAGATCTCCCGTCCTAGTTCCAACTTGAGATATGGAGTATTACAGATCTCCCATCCTAGTTCCAACTTGAGATATGGAGTATTGCAGATCTCCCGTCCTAGTTCCAACTGGAGATATGGAGTATTACAGATCTCCCGTCCTAGTTCCAACTGGAGATATGGAGTATTGCAGGAGATCTCCCGTCCTAGTTCCATGTGGAGATGTGGAGTATTGCAGGAGATCTCCCGTCCTAGTTCCAACTGGAGATATGGAGTATTGGAGGAGATCTCCCGTCCTAATTCCATGTGGAGATATGGGGTACTGCAGGAGATCTCTGTCCTAGTTCCATGTGGAGATTTGGAGTATTGCAGGAGATCTTCCGGCTTCGTCATACCAATAGATGTTAAAAGATGGTACTTGCTGTTACCCTGTCTACGCTTGGCATTAAGGGGCTAAAACAAGGACTGGTCCGCTCGGAGTCATTATACTGTGTCTGAGTGGGGTATTCATGTTATACTGTGGCATCGTATCTCAGTGAGCTAGCACTGTAAATCGGCATCAGTCCGGACTAGTACAAGCAGCCACACACAGACACACACATGCATCCACGTCGCCATATAAGTGCAATAATTGTGATTGCAACGTTAAACTCCATTTCATCTCACCTTCAAAGGACAAAATATCAAAGATGGCTAAATTGGTAACAATCCTCAAATTGACATCACTCAATATCAGACATAATTATTATTTCTTCATAATTAACAAAATAACACTAACGTACTATCTCCCAAGAGTAAGTACATGAAGATTTGATATAATAGTTGATATATTTTCATTGCAGCACATCTGTTCAGCACACTATTACACTATTTTCGATCACTCATAACTTGGGCGCCATGTCATACAAGCATTGATTCGTTGTGCAATCACATTGACCGTTTATTTATACTTCGTGTGTTATGGTGTGTTGTTATTGGTTTAAACCTAATTCATAAAAAGCTTGAAACGTGATATAATTGGACAATTTTAATTCTTGAATTTGAAAGCTCAAGAAGTGTGAAGTAGGCTTTATTTAATACAAGGAAATGATT